CATAATGTTATGGCTGATTGGTTTAAATGAGGAGCAGGAGAAAGTTGACTTTTATTTTGGAAAGTATGTTCCAGTGTATGTCTCCAGTGTCTCTTACTTTGTCAAGCAAATGAGTTTTGTTCACATTTTAAAGCAATAATGTAATCAGAAATTAGAAACTAGTTGACAAAACAATTAAGGTCTACCTACTTGCTTATTGGAGCTTTTTAGCCGTTATCACATGGTCTTCATCAGCAGAAGTTTTCTCAGTTGCCATGTAACTGTAGATGTCTATTGTCTAATGTCCATTATTCTGAGCCCTTTAATGTTGAGCTATTATTATTCTAAAAATGCTCAGAATAATGTCAAAGTATTAGCAAACTGCTAATATCGGCAGGACAAACTATAAAGTGAAACTTTAGTTGAGAGTGTTTTGTAAAGCTCATTTGTAGAAAGTATCCATCTGTTATTATTTGTATTATAAAATGACATCAGTTTTATCAAGTTTCTTGTTTGTGTTTCTTTGGTGTACCGAATATTCTTTTTGTATGACATTTTTTGATAAAGATACATACATTATTTATACAAAGTAATACTTTTGGAACTTAAACAAAGATGCAGAGAAAGAACAAACTTTAGCTCTGATAAACGAAAACATAGCAGTAATGGGTTTTTCTCAGCTCTTTTCTGCCTCTCCGTTGGCCTCAACTGACTTTATTGACTAAACTGAAGTGAGCAGAATTCTTGAACAGTTGTGGTTCAAATCCCTTGAGGTGTACGAAGCATTTTGCAGAACTTTCTGTTTCACCAAATTAAGCCTGGCCTTAATCTTTGCCTCCAAATGTCCCTATAAGCCAGAGCAACATATTGTGTATGTAGTCTCCTGTATGGTACGTGTGTGTGTGTGTGTGTGTGTGTGTGTGAGTCTGATTTGTATGCCACTCGTCTGTTTACCTATGTGCAGGTTATTCCCAAGTGAGCAGAAGTCATCACTGCTTTAAACTCCCTTTGCTCTCTTCTTCCTTTAAATGTGCCCTGAATATCTCTCTGTGTGTGTGTGTGTGTGTGTGTGTGTGTGTGTGTGTGTGTGTGTGTGTGTTTAATATATCTTGGTATTGCATTTCTAGTCAGAGGTGAAGGGAAGGGCTTGAGGCATGATGGATTATTGTTGCCATAGAATCATGGCATGGAAAAATGTCAGTGTGTGTTGCTGAGGTGGTCACTAGTGATGTGTCAGAGGTTATGTGCCTTGAGAAAAGCTCCTCCTCCTCCTCCTCCTATATATATATATATCTATATATATATAGATATATATATATATATTGTTTGTTTTTTGGTAGATGTGGGTCAGTTCAGGACCGTGACCTCACGAAATATTTTGATTTTGATATTTAATGCTGTTTTTTTAGCCAGCAGTTTGCTTGGTGAGTAAGGTTAGACGGCAGTAACGTTAAATAAACATGAAATAAAGACATGTTTAGTATAAATACTGATTAGTTTTGACAGCAGTTAATGAATGTGTTTTAAGACCAAGCATAAGACTGAAGGAGGACAGAAGGGCATCAGAGGAAAATAAAAGAAAGTATTAGAGAAGAGAGACATATTGTAGTCGATATAAAAGCCAAAAAAGCATGAAAGGGAAAGCGGAAGGAAAGGAGATTATTTAAGAGAAAATGGAGAGACTGACATTGGACAAGAAACAGAGAGAGAGAGACCAGACTG